GGCAAAACATAGAGTAGCATTTAAGAGTTATTTGTGAATAGTGTAATTGTGGATGATTACCTTTTTCTTTTTCTGTTTATCTACTTTGTAATTTAATTTAATATTATTTTATATTTCCAAAAATAAAATCATACAAAATAAGTGTACTTTTTTTCTGATTAGACTAGGACAGAGCAACTGAGGTTTTGGTAGCAAACAGAATTTGCTATAATTTACATGGTTGGAGTGTTTGCATTTCCAACGTGATAGGTCAAACAGATGTCACTACTTAGAAATTCCTCTTCATGACACTAAGCAGATTGGTTTCAACGTAACTACTTTCCCAGAGCAATTTTCCCTTAAGAAAACTCTAACCACAGCCATCTACACAACTATGTACCGCCTTGAACAAAATGTTAACCTCATTTGGACATTTTAAAAGTTACTCAACACTAATATTAGCAAAGAATTGCATAAAAGGTCAGTTCATTAAATATGAAGATACAATGACCACATTGTTGATAAGGCATTTAATGTAAAAAGGGAGCTCACTGAATATTTAGTATAAATACTTTTCTGACTTAAGATCTCTTCTAAAGTTTTCTTTAAATTAACACCATAATTCTTTTTTGGTTATTTATTAGACTTTAAAGGAAGAGTTCTTTATGTTCTCTCTCCTCTCTTATTAAATTACTTAGACACTCCAGAAAATTCAAATGAACATGAAGACATAAACTATAGTTCTACTTGTTAGAATGAGAAAACAATGGAGAAAAAAGTATATCTTTGTACTGCTCTCAAGACAACTCATGATATACCAGCTCAACAACTTTTTCCTGTCCACTTGTAGACTGACAATTTTCATAGCTGCTCCAAGATGGATTTCATCTCCAAATGTTTAGAAACACCATAAAGAAATGAAGAAGCCATATGCAACAACATAAATGAAACTGGAGGCCGTTATGTGATGTGAGATAAACCAGACACAGAAAGACAAATACTTCATGATCTCACTTACATGTGGAATTTAAAAAGTTAAACTTGCAGGATGTTGATTGCCAGAGGCTGGAATTGAGGAAATGGGAAACTGTTGGTCATAGGGTACAAAATTATTATTCATTTATGAGTAAGTTCTGGGCAATGTACAGCATGGTGACTATAGTAAACAATACTATTTTGTATACTTGATATTTGCTAAGTGAATAGATTGTGAGTGTTCACACACACACACACACACACACACACACACACACACAGGTAACTCTGGGATGTGTTAATTAACTTATTATGGTAATCATTTCACAATGTATATGTATATAAAATTATTTGATATACAGTCCCCCCAAAATCACATTGTCCATCCTAAATGAGTGATTTTCAACCAGTGTGCAGCAAATATTTTTAAAACATACAATACATGACTCTTTAGTCAGAGACACTGACCTCTTTTCCCTTAGATTGTCAAATAAAAAAAAAAAAATGACAACAGCCAACACAGCAGCCATCCAGTGCAAATGGATCAAAACATTACCTTTCTTTTTGTCAGATTGGCAAAAAAAATGTATTTCTATGTGTACTGCAGAGTTTTAGTAAGCTATATATATAAAAGGCTAAGTGACTATCCAACCATCTGACCAGTAGCTATGATGTGCACTGACCACCAGCAGGCAGATGCTCAACACAGGAGCTGCCAAGCTGCGGTGACTTGGCAGCGGTGGTTCTCGGGTGACGCACCCCAGAACTAGAGAGGAGGGAGCCCAGTTCTGGGGTGCATCACCCAAGAACTGCCCTCTTGCAATCCGGGACCACTCGGGGGATGTTGGAGAGCCAGTTTTGGCCCAATCCCCACAGGCCAGGCCGAGAGACCCCACCTGCTAGAGGGACCCCACTCACTCCACAGATGCCCTTTGAGCTGTGGCGCCACTGCAGGAGGTTGGCTCCAGGGCATGTCCGGCCTATCTCGCCCAGCCCCGCCCCACTGGCCACCTTCTAATTAATTTCCTTTCAATGTGCACGAATCCATGCACTGGGGCACTAGTTAGTTTATGTGTGCCATGAGTTGAAAAAGGTTTAAATACACTGACCTAAATATATGCAATTTTTTAGTCACTCATACCTCAATAAAGCTGGGAAAAAATCATAATGAAAAATAAATGAAGAAACAAGGATTTCTCCAAGCATCATGATGACCCTTATGGGGAGGGGTGGTGCTGTGGTGATGAGAGGGCGAGGAGTGCGAGGGCAGCTTCTGGAATTCCATTAGTTCTGTTTCTTTACCTGAATATCAGTTACACTGGTGTGTTCACTTTTTAAAAATGCATACACTAGGGTATGTTCCACAGTTTTATGCAATAATAGACACATTAATATTGCTCAGTTTCTATGAAAATTAACTATTTGTTTTGTTTGCAAAGAATAACTTCGAAGAAAAACATGAAGTGAATGCCTATGCCTAGATCATGTTGGCAACTAATTAGAATAGATTTCAACAAATCATATTTAAATGCCTCTGAAGTTGGCATGGTTCATCTAACTAGTTTTGCCATAATCTTGGGACCCAATTTTTCCTTTTTAGTGTGAAATTACTAAATTTAAATAAAATAATTATATCATGAAACTTCAAAATCACAAAAGCTATTAGCAAAATGTCTGCTAAATGGTTTTGGATGTGTTAAATAAGTATGCCCAAAATGCTTTAGACAAGGCTGAAACAAGTCAAAATCAAAGACAACTTTTCTAGGAATAGGAAAGGCAAACATAAAGAAAGTCACAGAGACATTAAGGCAATTGTTGATCCAGTATGTTAAGATTCCTAATTTTCCCCGAGCCTCAGTTTTCTTATCTGTTAAATGGGCATCCTTATACTTACCTCTTGGTTGGTTTGGGATGAGAGAAAGCCTATATAATGAGCTTGGCAATACCAAGAACAAGAACACCATGGAATTCATAGAATAGTTCTTTGAAAAGATAACTGTTCTTCAAATATTATTTCATATCCTCAATGTATTTAAATGGGTGAGAAACCATTTTAAGCAGCTTGATAATTTTAACTCTTATTTATAAATTATTTCTTATTTCCTAATATGAAATTTTAAAATCACATCCTAATTTATGTGATCAACTCAAAATGTTGTTGCTATTGTTTATAATCACCAGTTTAAATGTGCAAATTATTTATTCAATATGTCATTATGAGTTAGTCCTATTGTCTCAAGTCTTCCAAGAAAGCATAGCTTTTTTAAAAAAATTTTATCTCAGTCCTGCAAGTGATTTGAGCTTTTATGCCACTGTCTATAAATCATTCATTCAACCAATATTTCTTATTAATAACTTGCGTGCCTTAAACTGCTGTTCTAGGTCCTGGAATGTAATAAGCATCAACTCAAAGACTCATTCCTCCTGGAGTTTACATCATAATAGGGAGAGAATTAACAACAACTTTAATAAACAAATAAATAATATAGTACAGTACTGGGTGATTCATGCTATGAGAAAAAATAAATGAAGCAGGGTAAGGAAGACTGGAAAGGGAAGGGTAGTTCTCATTAAGAAAGTGACAGTGACACTTGAAGCAAATTAAGAGTTAGCCCTGCCATTATCTGGGGGAAGAGCATTCCATGCAGAAGGAACAGACAGTGCAAAGGCCAAAGGCTGGAGGTGGCTGGGGTGTGGCTGAAGCAGAGTGAGCAAGAGAAGGCAGTGGTGCAGAGGAGCCAGAGGTGGGTCCCTGGGAGCACTGCCGCTTTCTCTCGCTGTGAAGTGCAGTGGTTAGTGCAGGAGGCACAGGATGCAATTTGCTGCTTTTAAAAAAATGTGTCACACTTTAAAAGGATCAGAGGATATGCTTGTCTGCTGTGTTGAGAAGGAACTTTAGGAAGACTAAGGATAATAGCAGGAAGACCAGTTAGGAGGGGCTTGTCCAGATGAGAGATGTGGGTGACTCCAACAAGCACTGTAACGGTGGTGGAGTGGTCAGAAGTGGTTGGATTTGTGATGTATTTCGGAGGAAGAATCAGGAGGAACTTCTGACAAATGTGTATGGGGTGTGAAAGGAGATAAGCAAATGATTCCACTTCATGGAAAATTATTACGAAGGAAAATATTGTATGTTTTCATTTAAAATCTTACATATTTTACTTTCCTCAAAGTGTATTCTTTCTATTGAATTGTATGGACTGAAACTACAGGTGAAATATCTAATAGCTTTGTTAACATATTTTTCAAAATGCTAGCACTGTGAGCACGCGCGTCAGCCTGGAGCAGAGGTCTCTACAAGGAGGCTTGTGTAACTGGCCCGCCTGCCACGCCCCTCTGCTCCGGCCTTTGGGAGGACAGCTGTGCGATGGATGCTGTCAATTTATTCCATGTCCATCAACCAGAGTTGAAGTGGCATTTGATGATTTCATTCATTGGGATTCTGCTGGCTTTTGACCTTGAACTTTCCCAGTTTGTGACTTCTTGTTTTTCTTTGGCAATCTTTGCCAGGTTGTCTTAAAGAAGACTTTCATTTTACTGTCAAAAGAAAATTACTTCCAGTTCTTTCATATGTCAAAATCCTGTCATTTCTGCAAGGTGTGGCCCATTGTGACTCAGGCTCTGAGGTTAGGCTTGATTTTACTGTCACTTTCTTCTCTTCCAGCTACTAAGAGCACACCTCCTCTGACTTCTTTCTGTGTGTCACAGTGGGTATTGTTACATAATTGCTTTAATGAAGAATGGGAGCTGTTCTATCTTCTTAGTTTCTACTTGTCAGAGGTAATTCTGCCACAAAACTTCTCCAATCCCTAAAGGTTTTATTTGACATTCTGATAAATGGTGGGCTATTTGAAATACTTATTTAAAATAAGTAAATGTATGTTGATTGATTGATTAGTGAGAATCTGGGTCTCTTTTTCTTAGAGAGTCTGTGGACTCTAAAAAAATGGTGAAGAGGGAATATATGAATATTGCATATATCTCATCGATTTCAGTGAATATAAGATTATCTCATTCTTTTGCAGTGTCTCTATATTTAAAACTTTTCGGAGAGGACCGAGCTGCTGAGGTCCTCGGAGAACATTGTCTTGTGGACAAGAACGTGCTTCCCCGGCTCGGCTCGGGGTGCGGGGTGCGTGGCTGAGCGCACGTGGCCATGGGCAACCACAGGACGACGCTGCCCAGAGCAGCCCATGCCACCTGAGCAGCGCAGGGCGCACCGGGCCATGGACTCACCTGCCCCACCTGCCCTGCGCGCTGCCCCTCCCCAGACGAGGACTATGGGTGAGGAGGAAAGGATGCCAGCCACACGGGTGAAGCCCAAGTCCAGGGCGGCAGTGACGTTCGGGGACCTGGCCATCTACTTCTCCCAGGAGGAGTGGGAGAGGCTGAGCCCCGCGCAGAGAGGTCTGTACAAGGACGTCATGTTGGAGAACTACCAGACCCTGGTCTCGCTCGGACTGTCCCGTCAGAAGCCAAATATGATCGCCTTGTTGGAGAAAGGGAAAGCACCCTGGATGGAGAGATTCGTGAGAAGACCCCGGGGCCTGGGAGGCTGGAGGGACCACAGGCGCGTTCAGGTGGGTGGGGCTGCCTGCCCCCCGTGGAGGCAGGTCCCGCAGCAGAAAATGCCTGAAGAGCGATGTACCGCTGAAGCTGAAAGAAGGCGACACCGGCCACAGAATTTATCTGAAGAGCAGCTATTGGCAAAACGCAGATCTGCAGCTGAAAGGAGCCGGCGTTATCGACAGAAAATGTCTGCAGAGCAACGTGCCTCTGACACTGAAAGAAGGCGGCGTTGGCGACAGAACTTATCTGAAGAGCAACTATTGGCACAATGTAGATCTGAAGCCGAAAGAAGCCAGCGTTATCGACAGAAAATGTCTGAACAGCAACGTGCCTCTGAAGTTGAAAGAAGGCGGCGTTGCGACAGAATGTATCTAAAGGGGAACTACTGGCACAATGTACCTCATTAAATTTGAGGCTACACGTGTGATCATTGCTCAAAAAAATGAGCAGGTTCAAAAATTAAATGAAGAAATTTTGGATGTACTTGGAGATTTTCACACATATTTGAGTGACGATTCCATTGATTCAACAGATGATGCTGAAAAGGAAAATTTTCCCATTGAATTTCTTAGTAGTATTACTCCTTCAGGAACGCTGTGTCATAAATTAAAATTGAAAGTGGGTACAATCATCATGCTACTGAGAAATCGTAATAGTAAATAGGTCTTTGTAATGGTCCTCGATTTATTATCAAAAGATTGTGACCTAACATAATCGAAGCAATAAGCATTTAGGTTTCTCAATGTCTTTTCATAGCTTGAGAACTCATTTCTTTTTAATGTTGAATAATATTCCATTGCCTGGACATACCAGTTTATTTAGTCATTCCAAGTTGTGGTGATTATAAATAAATGTTTATTCCACAAATATTTTTAAATATTTACACTATAAACATATATGGTCAGGATTTTGTGTGGATATCAGTTTTCGGTTCCTTTGGGTAAATACCAAGAAGTGCAATTGCTGGCTAACATGTTAAGAATATGTTTAGTTTAGTAAGAAACCACCAAACTATCTTCCAAAGTGGCTGTGCTGTTTTGCTTTCCCACCAGCGATTGTGAGAGTTCCCATTACTCCACATCCTCTCCAGCATTTAGTGTTGGCAGTGTTCTGGATGATGGCCATTCAAATGGGTCTGTAGTGGCATCTCATTGTTGTTTTGATATGTATTCTCGGGTGACATACTACGTGGCACATCTTTTTTTTTTTTAAAGATATTTTATTGAGTTTTTACAGAGAGGAAGGGAGAGGAATAGAGAGTTAGAAACATCGATGAGAGAGAATCATCCATCAGCTGCTTCCTGCACAACCCCTACTGGGGATGTGCCCGCAACCAAGGTACATGCCCTTGACCAGAATTGAACCTGGGACCCTTCAGTCCACAGGCCGACACTCTATCCACTTAGCCAAACCAGTCAGGGCTATGTGGCACATCTTCATGTGCTTTTCCGCTCTCCATACATCTTTGGTGAGGGGTCAAAATCTTCGGCCCATTTTTAAATTGGGTTGTTTTCTTATTGTTGACTTTTAAGTGTTCTTTGTATATTTTAGATAACAGTCAGTCTTTTTGTCAGTTGTGTCTTTTGCAAATATTTTCTCCCAGTCTGAGACTTGCTTTTTAACTCTCTTTCTATTGTCTTTCACAGAGCAGACGTTTTTAATTTTAATGATCTAGCTTATCATGTTTTCCTTTCATGGATCATGTCTTTGGGTTGTGTGGTGTTAACCTTACAATCTTTCCTCCTAGATGGGAATGACTGTTGGGAGATTTGCATCTCACAGGCATGGCCAGGATGTCCTATGAACCTGTGTATCACAGTGTCACAGTGGCTAAGTTCATTGGGTGTGCAAGAAACATACTATACAAGAATAATAATCTTATATTTAGGAAAAATAACTTCAGCCAGAGCCTTAAGTTTCTTAACTCTCCTCATAGTAAAAAATCCAAGAAACATGGTGTTATATCCAGCAAAATAATTACATTCATCCAGAAAAAGAAGAAAATGTAGAAATGTAGTAACAATTGCATCCTTGTTAAAAAAAAAAAAAAAAAAAAAAAAAAACCCAAAAAACAAAAAAACATAGAAAAGGAATTACTGATTTTAAAAGAGATAATAAAAACAAAGTTTAGCCCTGGTCAGTGTGGCTCAGTTGGTTGGAGCATGTCCCAAACACCAAAAATTGCCAGTTCAATTCCTAGTAAGGGAACATACCCAGGTTGCAGAGGTTGTGGGTTTGATCCCCAGTCATGGTGTATATGGGAAGCAACTAATCAATGTTTCCTCCTCCCTCCCTCTCTCTCTCTCTGTCTCTCTCCAATTAAAAAAAAAGTTCATTATTGCCAGAATATCAAGGAAGACACTCCCCAGAGAAGGGAAGGGAGAACTACAATTTTCCCAAGAGAATGAAATTACGAAGGGATAAAGCTTCAAATTATTGTTTTCAGAAGTTCTTTAGTTTTGGTGTGGAAAGATAAGTGTGGTTTTGGTTCTTATCATTTCTTTCTAAAACACAAATCTGGCTAGTGGTTCCTTTTGAGGCAGGACAAGGCAGTCATTTTTCCTTCTAAGTGTCCTGACTCTGATCCAGTGTTGCAGTGGAGCTGGACTGCACTGATTCGAGAGTCATTTCTGCTCTTACACTCCCTACTCCCTGTTCAATTACATCACATCGGTAGCCTGAGATCAGCCAAGATCAGGGAGCATTTACACAATAGAAACTGGCAGACACAGGAGAGATGTTGTCAGGGCTCCAAGAGAGAAAATGCCGGTTTCAGGCTGAGCCAAGAGAGACGACAGTCATAACCCTTTTCCACTGCCAGAGCTGCACCCTCCACATGGGCTCACCCTTCTCCTTCTCCCTTCTGAGAGTCCTTTTTACATAAATTCATTTAAACGCATTCTAATTTGTGACCAGATATCCTTAACACAATTCATGTGGCATTGCTCTTAACTTTAATAATTTTCCTATCTTCGTGGCTTTTGTCATTGACATATTAATTCAATATGTAGCCATTTTTTTTTAAAAAGGTAATGTCCAGTCATTGTTAAGTGCACTGGCCCTGAATTCAGATGAGCTGAGCCTGAATCCTGACTCTGCTTACTGGCTGTGATGTTATATGAGTTACTTATGCTTCCCTTGTATCAGTATTTCCTAATGTTTTTTGTCTGGTACCAGTACCTGGTACTGAGAACAGTGCCTCACGTACAGTGCTAATTCTTATTTATGTTTTGTATTTGCACCACCTGTATACAAAGAGATAATGTTAAATTGCTTAGAAAATCTATTTGAGGAGTTATACAGTGCTCTTGAAATTTTATTTTCAAATTCACACTTTAGTCACAGCCTCCTAATTTGCTGTTGATTTGGAAGAAAATGTCTAGCAGAGAGTATAACTTAGATAAATATTAGTTCTTCACTGCAAATTTAATTAGCATCTCTATGAGCTCCTATTTCCTCCATTATACAATGGGGCTATTAATATCCAGCTCACAGCATCGCCTAGAGGGCTCCTTCTGCATCTTTTTAATTCAGGACAAGCATAGAAAACAATCACATCTGAGCAGCTCACTGGGGTGAAAAGGCCCGGCTGCCTCCGCCTCAGGGCTCCGGTATCTTGACCCACCTGCACTCCACCCCCAGGACCCCGTGGAGAAGCTCTGGCCTAGGAAATCACATGCCATGTCCACGAATGCCAGAGAGCCTGGCACACAGATGACACCGCATTAGTCCCACTTGGTTAGCTCAAATTAATGAGACTACACCATATTGGATGGAAACTCACAAATAGCGCGGAGCCTGGGTGGTGTCTGCCATGGATAATTTTTGTCACTGGGTTTTATTCTAATATGACTCTCCCCCACCCCCCGCCCCCACCACCATTCACCTGTTACTGTCTATGAGTTAGGAAATTCAGTTATCAAGTGCTTGAAATTATGTCAAGAATGCTAGCAAAGCCAAGTGTGGAGCTATTTCCTGGGGAAGGTCTAGAGAGCCAGCGTTGTTAAGGAGCAGAAATCACAAGAAACAAAGGAAACCGGTGTGTTCTTTCCCCTCGTCACTGAGGAATGCCACTCCGGGGCTAGTTTCACGCACTCTAAGACAGGCTCCGTACCTTTTCTGGACACTCTTTGTGAAACAGGCCACTTGGTTCTCTAAAACAGACTCTGTTCAGTCTGTAAAACGCCTCGCCCAGTGCAAAGGATCACCTTGAGTTATAATCTCACGTTGAGTTACCAACTACAGTCTCCTCTCCCGTGGCTCCAACAGGAAGCCTGCCGTGGAACCGGGCCGCCGTTGCCTTCTCTCTTAACTCAGCCTGACAGACATCTCCTTTGCCTCCCATGACTGAGAACTGCAATTTCAAGTTAGCCATTTACGATTTCTTTCTCAGTCCCCAGCCTTCAATTTTGAACTCTCCTGGCATCCTTCTCAGGAGATTTTTCTGCCTCGACAAGTGACCTTTATCACAAGGTGTCAGGCAACCCATTTCATCTTCTCAAGTATGGCCCACAGGCCCACAGGACACACATACCTTAGAGCTCTAATCAGCACCAGAGTAGTTTCTTTCCTAGTTATAAGCCTGAACTCTGCTGCAGCAGGTCCCTGCAGACAGCTTTTGACAATTGAGATTTGCCAGGTATAAGCCATTAGTTCACTTTGCCCTTCCAGGGCAGGGGCCCAGAGCAAGTTCTGTGGTCGGTGGAAGCCCCCTCACTAGTCTTGAGGGGAACAAAGCTCTTATTTCTTCTCCATGCTGTGGGCTGTGATGGGGAGTGGACACCGACCTTCCACTTTCCTAGCCACTTCAATTTCAAATGTCTTATGTTTTCAGCGCATGCCTAAGGATTACACAGAAGGTTCTGCAAGCCTCTTTGCATGCCCTGCATGGCTGCCTAGTACCTTGCTTGGGAATGTGAGACTGGTTGTGGCTATAATCTTAAATCTACTAATAACATCAGCATTACTGGTTACATTTAGTAACGTAATGGTCTAGACATGTGACTTATGCATGTGAAATGAAAGTGCCTTAAAATTAGAAAACCTCACTTTTTTAAAAATCATGGTTCATGTGGAAACTCCTCCAAGGCTAATATTATAATGTTGGGTAAATTCATCAATAGATAAATCATTAGCCAATAGAGTTTTAAATTATCCTAAAAAACACAATTTCATTTTTAGAGCATGTGCTGTTGGGAATAATGTTTGCAATCTTAGTATGCAAGTTTGGAATTCAAGGCAACCTTGATAGGATAGTAAGGGCCAGATAAATAATTGTTCCTGTTACTCTAATCCTGGGAACTTCGCCAGATTCCAGCTGATTATGCTGCAACCAGGACATCCTGGTGCCTTGGTTGCCCGGCAACCATTCCCCTCCCATTTTTTTTCTCTTCCAGAGGTGCGGAATACAATGTCATTTAGGATAGAAGTCAGCAGATAAGAAATTCAATCTCATTTCATCAGCCAGGACTGGTTTGGCGTGACATGGCCTG